TTCTGAATGAGAAAACCTAATAAAAATTCCAAATCTTCAAGTATTAACATTTTTAAAACAGTGCCAATCAGAATCCAAACTGTTTGGGCCTAGAAAAAAATAAATTTGATATTGATATCAAAGAATAAACATCTAACAACTGATAAGAAACAATATGAAAGAAGAGTGACTAAGAATTCATATTACCAGGCATTAAAATTTACAGAAATCTACTATGATTTTGAAAGTATTGTCTTGACACAAGAATTGACAAATATAATAATAGAACAGAGTAGAAAGTCTAAGTCCAAGTATGTACATAGAGCTACTATCTAAGAAAACTGGCATTTTAATTATGTGAGAAAGAAATGATTGATTTAATAAATGATTCTGTGTAACTGGTTATTCACCTTAAGGAAACAAAATGTAACCCCTTCCTGCACATCATATTCAAAGTGTAAATTTCAGATGGAATACAGCTCTAAAAAATAAACAAAAATATCAAAAGGAAATTTAGAAATATGCAAAGTGTTCATGGAGAGAACAACTTATGCAAGTTGAACTTAGAAGCCAAATAGACATTTATCAAAGTAATCAAATTAAAATTTTTAAGGTTTCTATTTATTTAAATGTTATAGTATACATTTAAGGTATTCAACAAAAAGCTTAAAAAGAAGGAGACCCTATCATTTGCCACAACATCAATGGACCTGGAAAACATTATGCAAAGTGAAACAAATTAAATTTTTATAAATTTAAGTATCATAAACTCAAAAGACATGTAACAGACTCAGGAAAATATGTGAAAAAAATTCAAAACTAATAATGTGCTACCCTCCATAATATAGATTCATTATAAAATTATAAATTTATAAATACCATCTTTTTTTGTAGTGCTGGGATTGAACCAAAGGCATCATGCATGCTAGGTAGGTGCTCTACCACTGAGTTATAACCCCAGCCCACAAATTTATATTCACACACACAAAAAGAGTAAACATAAAGTGTATGAACAAGCAATTCACAAAAGAATTGCAAATACAGCAAATTTATATTCACACACACAAAAAGAGTAAACATAAAGTGTATGAACAAGCAATTCACAAAAGAATTGCAAATACCTAGCAAGCATACAAAAAAAGTTAATCGTTGACAAACAACATACTGAAAACAAATAGGTGCTATTTAGTGCTGGCGTGGGTGTAAAGAAACAAATATCTACAAAATTATATTGGGAGTGTAGTTTTTGTAACTTTATAAAAATTCAATATGAAAGACTATATTATAGTGAAATTCAAACTGCTCATATTCCTACATTCAGTTATTCTACTTTTGGTATCTATCCTACAGGAAGAAAAGCACCAATATATAATGAGATTCATTCATGGATATGTTTTCAGAAATATCTATAGTGGAAAAAATCTGGAAATAAACATAATGTTTAGCAAGAGGGGATAAGTTGCTACAAAATACTATGGAATATTTTACAGCAATTAATAAAGAAGTTTGAAGGCTTTATTGATATATTTGACTAGTGTATGACCTTAACTGACATAGGTGTTGCAATGAAGGTATTTTACAGATGTAATCAAAGCCCCTAAACAAGGAGATATAAGGGAGAATATCCTGGATAATTTGAGTGGATCTGATTGAATATGATGAAAGGTTTCAAAAACAGGGCTGAGGTCTCTCCCAAAGAGGACAGAAATTCCACCTGTGGAACACAGCTTCAGCCCATGTCCACAGAATTCCATTCTTCTCATGACCTTGCCTTCCTGGCTGCCTATAAATGACAGCTTAGTACTATGCCCATGTGTTTGAGTCTACCCATGAAATTCTGTTTCTGACTGACTACACTACAGATTTCAGAGTCACCTAGGAAGCCTTTACAATCACATAAGACAATTATTTCTAGTAATATATCTCTTACTGTTTATGCTTCTCTGCTTGAACTCCGATTGACATAAGAAGTTACAGATAATATACTCTTACCTGTAGAGTTATTTATGATAAATTAAGTTTAAAAAAGTGAGTTGCAATGTGTGTATACAAATTAATCTGAAATATACATATATATAATTTTATAAATACAAATGTTTATAAATATTTAAAGAGCATAGCATAGGTATGTAAAGAGGCACACCAAATTGCAAATACTTATTATTTCACAAAGACTGAGCAAGAAAATAAAAGAATTTTAAATATTTTTATACATTTCTACATGAGTTTAAATGGTTATGATGGCCCTGTGTAATTTTATAACTAAAAATAAAAACAATAATAATTATGGTAAATCAACATGGAAGTCATAAAAATAATCACTAAAAATATTAAATGAGCCAGGTGTGGTGGCTCACACCTATAATGCCAGCAACTTGGGAGGCTGAGACAAGAGTATTGCAAATTCAAGGCCAGCCTCAGCAACTAAGTGAGGCGCTAAGCAACTCAGTGAGATCCTTCTGTAAATAAAATATAAAAGGGGCTGAAGATGTGGCTCAGTTGTTATGCACCCCCTGAGTTTATTTCCTAGTTCCAAAAAATAAAATAAATTAAAAAGGACTGGGAATGTAGTTCAGGGGAAAGTGCTCATGAATTCAATATCCAACACCAAAAAATTAAAAAAAAAAATGATTTGACAATTCTAACGATACAATGTGGAGTGAAAAATGTTACAAAATTATAACTGTGTACCAGGGAGAGGCAGGTATGGGGATAAAAAAGATTTAGTCACTCAATTTTTTTAACATACAGGAAAAATAGAATAGATGGAGATACATCAAAACAAAATGTTTACAAATTTCTTGCTGTGTTGTATGTACTCTGTGCGATTATTATTTTTTTCTCATGTTTTTCTAGGTTTTTTTGTTTCCTTACCATTTCCTACAATGAAATGATTTAAATGAGACTAAAAACAAAAATCTGCAAAACTCTCATTAAAAAGATGAGCATAGGTCTATCAGGAAACAATTTTTGGAAGCTTTTCTAAATTAGAAATAGACTTTTAAAAGTCACAGATTGGGCTGGGGCTGTAGCTCATTGGTAGAGTATCTGCCTCGAACATGTGAGGTACTGGGTTCGATCTTCAGCACCACATAAAAATAAATACAGATATTGTGTTCAACTACAACTAAAAATATTTTTTAAAAAGTCACAGATTATTAGTCAGAGATTATGTGGGAGACACGGTATTTGAGCCAGAGGGAATGGGAAGGACCTCGTAACTGATTTAGAGTCTGCACATTAAGATCAATCTTTTTTTTTTTTTTTTTGAGAGAGAGAGAGAGAATTTTTTAATATTTATTTTTTTAGTTTTCAGTGGACACAACATCTTTATTTTATTTTTATGTGGTGCTGAGGATAGAACCCAGTGCCCCATGCATGCCAGGCAAGCACGCTACCGCTTGAGCCACATCCCCAGCCCAATCTTTAATGTCTCTACAGCCTGAACAGGGTAAGTGGTTGCTGATGTCTGCAAATGGGAAAATAGCAACAACATTTCTATATTACTACAAAGCATGTCTTAATGCAGTACCCCTATGCTAAAAGCATTGTTTTACTCTAATGAGACTCAAAGTGAGTTATCAATGTGCATTCTACCCAATACCTAAGAAGACTGAGATTAATGGGTCTTTCTGAACATCCCTCCTGTCCTCTGACCATTTTGTTCCCCAATATGGAAGGGTAGGAGAACACTTCTGTACTAAATGAGTAGGCCCATTTTTCTAGAGGCAGTTTTTTTTTAAGCAACTTGAGCATACAAGCATTTTAACAACTCCATTTTCATAAGGAGTGGGGCAAAGACAAAAATTGTGTGTCTTCTTAGATAATTACAAAGGCTGCTTGTTTGTTACTTCTATGACAGAAACAGTACCATAAACAAAATATGTGGTAATACTTTATAACCAATAACTGAGGCACCTGAATTCCAGTGTTTGGAAACAGCATGAGGAATTATATCACTGTATAAAAGAAGAACAATCTGTTTCAAGCCAAAAAGTATGTTTGATTGTAAATCTAAATCATGCAAATGATGATGGTTTTATACCTTGTTATATTTTCTACAATTTACTTCAAAATAGATACACACAGTATAATGTATACATGCATATCCTTTTAATCTATAGTTTAGGGGCATTTACTTAATATTTAAAATACCTTAATCATTAATACTTACTCCAGAGGTGATTTGTAAACATTAAATACTTAGAAGCCTTTGCTTCTACTATCAGTAGTTCAGTCACTTCAATGGAGGAGAACTAATTAGCCTAACACATATAAAATAATTAATTTTTCTTAGTAAAATGAATGTTATTAAAGAGGTGTACCAACCAGAAATGTCTTAAGGATATTTTAGCTTTTATAAAAAATTGATATAAGAATCTCTTTGATCCCATAACATATTCCATTCAAAAGGGGTCTTAAAGCTTACAATCAAAAAGGGTTCTTTGTCCTGGTCCCTATCAGGATTATATTGCCAAACTCTGACCAGAAAGTTGGCTGACAGCTGGTGATATAGCTCAATGGCAGAGTGCTTGCCTAGCATGTGTGAGGCAGTGGGTTCCATTTCTAGCACTACAAACAAAAACAAAAAGGAAAGTTGTCTGAATCCCATCAGCATAATTCTACCAAATCTACCTTGACCCTTTTACAGAAGGTCCTATTATGTACATAAAAACTGAAAGCTGAGACCTCATTGAGATTACAGAATAGGATATATGAATGATTTTATGTGTGTTTGTTCATAAATGTTTATATGCTAGGGAGAATAAAGGCTAAGATTGGCTTTCAGTGCAATATGCTTGTCTGCTGATGCAACTTTATTGGAATCTAATAGGTAACTCATACCTACCTCTGACTAATGAAAGCTTTTGGTATTTATGAAAAAGAACCTAATAATAAGGAAAGGCCAAAGTGGCTTACATGAGTTTGTAACAGAAATCTTTCCTCTGACTCTAGAAAAATGTAAACCAATTCAAACTATGTTGATCACAGATTCTTCTATCTTCCCTCAGGTCACTTACCAATTTTTTCATCTTCCTGTACCATTTTCCTCTCTTCTCTGAAAGCCCTGAGCCAACGAATTTTCTCCTCCAGCTTCTTGGCAAAGAACAGATGCACCTCATTTTTCTCCTTGTTTTGAAGCTTGAAAGCATTCTTCATGCTGACATTAAAGTCATCATCTCTGCCATCTTCGATGTCAACCACCTCATATTTATCCATGTCAATGCGGCCTTTGTAGTATAGGATGTCTCTACGGATTAGATCCTAGGTAGGAAGAAAGGGAAGGTGTTTTTGTGTAGGTACATGCAGAGTGGTAACAGGAGAGTTGGCATATGGGCACAACAGAATACTAATGCTGTCACTGTTTTGGAATACCAACGGGGGTTGTTAAGGTCTAAATTTGGGCATGTTAGATTACCAGTCTGACACTGACAAGATGATTAACTAGGTGTCCTAAGAGTTGCCCCATATCCAAACAATGTCTCAGGCCCCAATATAAATCCTTGAATGTGTTTGCAAGCCTGTTGCTGGGAAATATGAAGCAGCATACCACAAAAACACTGCTAACAGGGGCTTTTCCTCTTTCAAAACGTTGGCCACTCTACCAGAAACATGAAATGCACTGGCTGGTTGTCTGGAATGTGCTGAGAAATCCAAGAAGGCCAATGAAACTAAGGTATCAGAAAACAAACTTGCAGATGCATATAAACACTATGTTGCCTATCTGATATTTTGTTATCAAGTACTAGATTAATCCTAATTTTCTTCAATGAGACATTCAAAATTAGTCTGTGAATGGTGTTCTTATTTCTCTACTTATGTACTTACATTTTTAATAATGTAATCAGTATTAGTGAACCTGCCCCCAATCCAAATGCAATGAACCAAGGTATACTCTACCCTAAATCTCATGTTCATCATTCCCCTGGTTTCCTTTGTGTGTGTGTGTGTGTGTGTATGTGTGTGTGTGTGTGTATATGTGTGTGTGTGTGTATACTGGGGCGGAACCCAGAGACCTTATCTGTGAGCCACATTCTCAGCCCTTTTTATTTTGAGACTGGGTCTCACTAAGTTGCTTAGGGCCCCATTAAATTACTGAAGAGGCTGGCCTCAAACTTGTGATCCTCCTGCCTCAATCTCCCAAGTTGTTGGGATTACAGGCATGTGCCACTGTGTCCAGCTCCTTTCTGTATAGTTCTATCTCATTTATATCTATTCCACTTGAAAACATACAAAGCATGACCACATAATATTAAGAGATACATATATATGTACAAAAGTTATAAAGGAATATTTGACAATGATATATGCCAAAATCAAAATTATAAATCAGAAAATGTGAAGAGGTGAAGAAGAAGGAAATGGAAGTGTATAAGGGGAGGAAGTTTACATTTTTAAATAATTATTTAAGTTGAACAGTAAGTACATGAGTGTACATTATATTATTTTAAATATTTATGGATATCAAATAAATAATAAGTCAAAAAAGCAAAAGAATGGAAGAAATCACATATGGGTCTATGTTAGATCTGATAAGTCTTTCGGAGTGGCCTTTTAGCCTCTCCTCCTATCAACACTTCCCTCATCCTCCTCAGAGAAGAGATATTCATTGTAGTGGTTCCTATGAACTGTATTCCAAATTCTAAGATTATTTGTGAGATACGTGCTCAAAAAGTGGGCCCTATTAGGCTAATTTAACTGGATAAATGGGAAGAAAATCTATGGATAATGGATGGAATCTATCCTGATCTCAGAAAGGTTTGAGTGAAACTTTACTATTCATAACATAATAAATAAAGACCTGGAAAGGCAGATCTGGATCATGCAGCTAAGAAGTGGGCACCTATAGTACTAAAACACTGGCAACCTCAACTACCCTATTCTGAACTTCAGTCCACAACTTCCTCCCCCCACCTACTAAACTAATGTCACATTATCATTGTCAGCCTTCAATACCTTTTCTAGTTTCCAAAAATGGAAAGTATGTGCAAGATCTTAGAACTACATTAATTGAACCTTCTTGTTGTTTCTTTAGATATTTAAGGATGACAAGGAACTAAAGAGAATTTTAGCTTCTGTTGCAGGGTAACAGGGGTAGAGTGACATGTTATTAAAATTCTTTCTTTGCAGCTCCACAGTCAGTTGAATGTGAGTGTTCAGGCATCAGATTAGTCATAAGCCAAATGCAAGGATATAATAAGAATGGCTAAAAATGATCTACTGGCTTAGGAAGTTCAATCAGAAAGGGTAGCTAAGGCCATGAAACAACATGGGGCAGTAGAAAGAGCATGACATAGAATCCAAAGACCTGAGTTTGAATACTAACAAACTGCTTAACTTACTAGCTGTATGGTCTTGGGTAAGCCACTTTCAGCCTCAATCATAAAATGAGAGTTTTATTTACATTGTAAAATGGCAGAAAAATTCTAATCTAAACATGCAGCTTCCTGGTTATGAGGCAAGCCTTATTCACTAAAAACAGCCTTAAGCTTTCTTGCTCCTGTGCCAGTGCTTCATAGCCGTTTGAATTCCTTTTTGATAAACTTAAAAAAATATGCTGCCTCTTTCAGCTCATTTAAACTTTCCAAATAAGTTAAATATTATGAGTAAAAATACTGTCTCTAGAAATTCTACATATTCTTTCAGGATGGGGGAGGTATTTGCTAAATGGTATTTGCCACCTACTCACCAACATCACAGATCTACTTGGGCAGCTAATGCTTTTCCCGGAGGTTTTTGTCAAGTCTGTAGATGTCTAGGCCCTGGTCATAGGCTGTGGCTCCTGCAAAGAACCTCTGCTCATCGCTGATACTGCATAATTGAAATAGCTTCCAGCTATTTTAATTTGGCCTCTCTAGGTATTCCCGGGGTTTTGTAAGACAAAGCAAGACATTTTGTACAAATAACAGATGCTGCAATCAGGAGAATGCAAGTGTTCAGGACTGTACCCTGCTTCATTTGTTTGTCAGTAGATCCTCCCTGCCACTTTAGAGGGGGGCCTGGTTACTATCACACAGTCTGGACAATGCCAATTTTCCCTTCAGATTCTGAGGAACATGAAGCTGGAACTGGGTTTATATTGGTCACTACCATATTCCAGCATCTAGAGTGCATGTTTTATTCTCAAAACAAAATTTTAACAATAAAAGCAACAGAAAACACTTAAATGGCAGACATATGTGCCAGATACTATCTTAAGTGCTTTGTTTTTATGAACTTAAATAAACCTCACAACAATCCTACAAGGCAGGGGCTATCATAATCCCATTTAATGAGAAACTATAGACACAGGAGTTAAGGAACTTAACCAGAGATAAACGCTATTAAATGGCAGAGCTGAGATTTTATTCCAGGGTGTTTGGCTCTAAGATTTGTGTTTTTGGTACTACAGTGTTATAATGCTTCCCAATAAAAATGCTGAATGATTGTAACACTACATATACTATAATAGTATCAATAGCTAACATTTACTAAGTATTTACATGACACCAGCCTTGTCTCATTTAACTCTCATAATCTACCTTTGTTGTAGATAAAAATATGATTCCTATTTTACAAATGAAGGGATAATTACAAGCACTGAGAGCTTGCTCAAGGTCAGAAAGCTCATGGGAGAAATGGGAATAGCATCCTCTAGTCGTTCCCTAGTATCCATGCTCTTAATACTCTACTACTCCCTACTACCTCAGGTTGTTCTCCTTGAGACTTTGGGGATGAGTTCTATCATTCACTTAATTTGACACTGAGGAACAAAAAGATGAAGTTAAATAACTGGCCAAAGTCTAGACAAAAGAATAAAGTCAAGTATCCAAGTATATTTTTTTTCAAATTCCCATCTTCTTTTTGCTCTATCCCCACCTCTTTTTATTTTATTATGGTTTGTGAGTTGTCTTACAAACCTCCCAGTTGGGCCTTTCAGTCAGTGCAAGAAGAAATGGTCCCAATGCAGAAATTTCCCTGAACAAAAGTCTTCTATCTACTACCATTACATGCTGTTTAATTATGATTCCTTACCACATGGTGAAGGCAACAGAAACACAGAGCAATTATTACACATAGCACAAGGGAGCATGCCCAGATGGACTGGCATGAAGTTTAAGAGAAGAGGTTGTTTAAGGCAACTATAGGGCTATAAGATGTTAGTAGATGATTTGGGAAAGGAGCTGTACTATCTTTCACAGTAAGTAGTGAAAGGAAAACAAAATAAAGGGGGAGGGGGAATCTTTCCAAAGCATCACAATAATCCAAAATAATCATGTCAGGAATTAAACAGCAAAACACGTACAAAGCTAAAATGACAAGGCAGTGAGACATAGAAGAGCAAGGACAGTAAGCAGAGAAGTTGAGAGACAAGAAATCAAGTCTTACCTGGATTTCTCAAAAGAAACATGACAAGGAAAGAGAAGGTGTGAGGGAAGCTGAAGAAGAGGTCACATATTTAGAACCCATGGATGTCTTTCTCATGTCCTATATTATAAACTGAAAAAAATATCTTCTCTCTCTTTTCCTCTAGTCCTCTCAAGTTATAAGCTGTTCAAACTATTATAAGTGGCTTAGTCATTCCCAATTCCTAATGTATAAAATGGCGAGATTTTTGCATAAGTGGTAATAAAGAGTTAAATAGGAACTTAATGGCTGGGCCACATGATTTTGGATAGAGATCAGGTACAATATTTCAATGTCTTCTATGCAATCTCTGGCAGGTAATCATCTAGCCCATATTTGGATGAAACTAGAGATGGGGACCACGTTACCTTATAAATCTGCCTATTTCTTTTTGGACATGAGGGAATTCTAAGATTATAATTTATTCTTCACAAAAATCCTGTACAGAATTTATTCTCCCCATTTTATAAATGATATAATGAAGGCATAGGAAATGATAGCTCACTTGCTTGAAATAATACAGTGAGTTCTGGAACCAAGATTTGTACCCCAAATTGTCTGACCATAAGTCGTATATCTTATTATTCCATATTTATTCTCTCTGCAAGGAAATTATGGGAGAATCTGATATGCCAGAATGAAATCCAGATATGCCAGAATAAAATCTAGATACTCTCTGCCAGTTTCAATCCTCCCATTCACTAATCAAATTACTGGCAAAATAGAAATGAAGCTTTATGAGTCATGGCTTGCTCCAAATGCTGAGCCCTCATGGTCGCTGCATCTTTTTCTAAATGTTCATAGAATATTTTATAATTACAGAATTCTGACAAGCTCAATGGCAGTAATGACATTGAGGTTGCCAATGTAGAAAATAGAGCCAGCTTGAATGAATTCAATCCCTGATTCTATCACTTGTCAGCTATTATCACCTTGGGGGAATTATATAACTTCTCTGTATTTCAATTTACATATCTTTAAAATGGGAATAGTGACAGTGACTTCCTGAGAGATTTGTTATGTGGATTAAATTGGGTTATTCAATGTAAAGTTCTTAGAACAGAATCATAAGGCACTCAATAAATGCTAGTTCATGATTTTTTATCAATCTATATTGTCCATAACATATTATTTTCAGTTTTGAAAACTGGTACATTTTCCTATCTATAGTGTTCTCACAGATTTCATAAGACCCATAATTCTAGAGAAATTCCACTGTGAATATCTGAGATTTATTTCAGTGTAAAGAAATACACATTTCTAAATTAAATGTTACTTAAATTTTATTAGACTATAAGCCCCATGAAGGCAGAGTTTGCAGGCCCAGAATAGGACTCAAAAATATTTCAGAGCAGTAAAGTGTTTTCTTATAACCTCAGATTCTTTGAGTCTCAATCCACTTGTAGTCAGTTTTATGCTCTCCTTCCCTTGACATTGAAGAAATTTATGTTACTCTGCTAACATTAAACCATCTGTCTAAGGCAAGGGGTTATCAGACTATCATTTTTTTAAATTTTTCTTTATTTGAATAGATCTTTTAAAATCACTGATATCGAATTGAACATTTTTATACCAACTTTATTCATTGTAGGACTCATGAAACTATTTTTGCCACTACTGTTAAAAATCACATATAAAATGTTTTATTACCTATTCACTTGCTAGGGGCATTTACTTATTCCTCTTTAAATATGATCTAATCAGAAAGCTTACTGCAGCCACATCTGGCTTAGCTTGCTTTTCCCCCCATTTTTTCCTTGTAAATACATTTTAAAAATTACTGATGAGCTTTCAGGTATTCTTTTAAATTGGATTCCTGAGGTGAGTAAGGTAAGTGAAGAGAAACCTTCCTCACCTCTTTCTAATCCTGGTCCTTCTCCTTCCTTTCCCTTGTTAAAGGAATCCTCATCTCCAGGGAGCCTCATCTATTTCTCTCCGTTCTATCTCAAAAAGAAAATCTTTTATAATAATGGAAAGTGGTCCCTAAGCAATTTGGCAAACAAAATATCTTGTCTGTTTATATAACTTATTTGCATTGCATGATCATTTTTCAAGTTTAACTCATATTTGATGAATAGGAAGTCCTATTGTAGATATCAAATAGAAATCTTCAACAACAACAAACATCAGATATTTTTAATGACCTTTGTACCAGCCTGTAGTTTCTTATGCTCTGGGAAGCCAGTGTCATGAAGAACTGAGTATATGGAATTGGTACCCTTATACACTGACCCTAGACTAGCTTTACTCTGGGGAGAAAGACTCTGGGGAGAAAGACTTCTAGATAGAAGAAGACATCTCCCATCTGAGGGAAACTATGCCTGCAACAAGGTATCTTTTATTTTTGTCACTTCTGTTACCTACTTCTCCCATACTGCCAGTGTGGCTGGTCTGAATTCCCAAGTCCTCCTTTGACTTCTAGTTTCTTCCTTACAATTGGCTCCTACTATTGGCTTCGAGTTGACTCATCACTTCAACCTGGTCTTCTGTCCCTTGATTCCTAAACTTAGCCCACTGTTCATCTTGTTTCTTTCCCTTTAATCCTAGCCTCTGCCTTAGTGTTCAGCATCCTAGGTCCTGGTGATACCACCTATAAGCACTGCTTTCCAGAGCCTAGATTCACATTTTACTTAAAGTAACTGCAGTGTTTGCTGAAAGATGCCTAAATCAACATGGTCTTGGGGATGGGGGACCCGAAAATAAACCAAGTTCCTGTTTGAAGTCTTTCTCAATGACTAGTTGTTCTGAGCATGAACATAATTTAGTAGTGAACAGGCACATGACTGTTGGTGACATGGTTTATATATTGAGAATTCCCTTAGTTGCCTAAAATAATCTTCAAAAATTTGCCTTCCAGTTGTATGGAAGACCTGAGAACTGAGGGGTCTAAAGATAGATATTAGTTTGGAGCTGAAATCCATATTCAAAAAAAGTTTTATCTTCCAGGGTTAACTCCAGATGGAGGCAATTATTATTCCTATGAACTAACTTGCTATTTTGGTTCCAGAGCCAGTATTCAGAGTTGATTGCCAAACATTAAGGCAGTCTGAATCTATTTAATGCAAGATATGATACACATTTACATGCACACAGAGTATAAGAGGCTTAAACCAAATCTGTGGTTATGTTCCAGGCCAGAAAAATAACAGTGTTTAATTTGTAATGTTGTGACTCAGCACCCCTCTTCAGAAGCATTCACTATGGATGAGAAAGAGAACAAAGGGACTAGGTATGAAGACAGTGAATTGGGAAATTCACGTTAAGTACTCTTAGGTTTCTCCCTCATCTTTTATTTTCCCTGCTCCCAAATTCTTACCAGCCAGTCACTAGAGACAAAAGTGGTCTGAACTTTGTATCCTGAGGAAGGAGGTAGGGGGAACAGTATTCCATTAGGATCCCTCAGAAGGATTCAGGATAAGAATGTATACTGTCCTTTTTCATCAAGAATAAAAGGCTAAGAAACCAACATTCAGTTATCAAGGGGGTAACTGAGAAGTACAAATTTCTCCTCAAATGTATTACAGGGAAAGGGCAGTACAGGAGAGATGGTTGGGAGTTGTGAGGAACCAATGCACCAATGCAGGAAACAGGGGGAAATCTTGTATCACAGAGGTACCTACCTGTCTGGGCAAAAGTAGTAGGCCCCTTGTTGGTTTCTATAGAAGAGAGGGGCCAGTTGGCCAGAGACATCAGACTGTAAATGGGGGAAGGTACTGAAGAAGCTATTGTTTACCAATTGGGATGAAACTATTATAATATTTTTCACAACTGATGCAAACTTGCTGGCTATCAGATCTGGGTGTAAGGGAACGAGAAAGAAGCACCATTCAAGTCATGAGAGCAAAGGTGAAAAATAGATACCAAGACAAAATTGTTCATTGCCTATGATATTCATGCCATACCAGTGCTCCTGATATGGAATTGCTGCCAATCTCCAGGCTGTTTTTCTCCTAGCAGTTGTTGACCACTTCACTGGCAGCCTGGGTATGAGGAAAAGGAAGGGGATGGTTCCCCGTGAGGTGCCCATCTCCCTCAGGGAAGAAAAGGTGGGGTTACCTTCTTGCAAAGAACCATCTGGTGGTCAAACAGGAAGAAGACCCGCTGCTGGTTGCGGCCATAGGGCTGGTAGATCCAGGCCATCTCCCCAGTGTAGATCAGCTCCGAGCTCCTGTCTAGGATATCCTCGCCCTAGGAAGGACACGTGATGGTGAGAGGCAGCCAGGTAGGAGGGATGGTCCCATTTCTTACCTGGAATCACCCAAAGCTAGAATAAGAGGAAGCCAGAGAGGGCCTGGTGGAGAAGGAGGGAGAAAGGGACTCCTTGGAGTCCTCGAAAAGCTTTATAACCATATTCTTTTTCACTTTGAGGCTATGGGCCTTATTACCCAGGATTGATACAGCCTCTCTATGTACTCTCTTACTCATGTTCTCTCATTCTTTGTTGTCCATCTCTCTTCCCTAAGAATCCTTTTCTGCTCCAGTTTCTCAATCCCTGCTCTATTCTCTGAGTCTCTAAAATTGAGCAAGTGGTAGAACTTTTTATGCTTCCCAGACAAGTAGAAGGGAACAGGGAAGGGCAAGAAAAAAGATGATAAACAGAGAAAAAGAGAATAATTCACTCCCCCTCTTATAATTGTTTTTTTTTTTCTTTCTCCTCTTAGTTCATTAAAATTCACTGATTGATTAAAAAAAGAAACTTCATTACCACATTCTTCCTTGGTTTATTATCCAGGGAACCTTTAACTCCTCTGCTACATAGAATCAGATTTGAAAAAAAAAGTACTAAGACACTTGACTCCTCCCTAATTGAATTCAACATTGTTTCCAAAGGCTCCCCTTCTTTTTTGGACTGGGGACTGAACCCAGGAGCACTTTATCACTGAGCCACATTCCCAGTCCTTTAATCCTTTTTTTTTTTTTTTTTAATTTTGAGAGAGGGTCTCACTAAGTTGCTGGGGCTGTCTTCAAACTTGTGATCCTCCTGCCTCAGCTTCCCAACTCACTGAGATTACAGGTATGCATCACCATACCCAGCAAGGCCCCCTTCTTTAAGGCAAGTCTGCTAGGGCAGAAGTATGATGGGATGCCTGTAAATGCCAAGCCAGACGTGGTCCCTGTTTTCAAGGAGTTTACATCTCAGCAGAGGAGATTAAGGTAGGTGGGCTCAGAAATCATAGAATACAAGGAAAACCAAACCAAAGTCAAGAGCACAGAGATAAGAGTTTTAAGGTCTATGTGAAGATGTGAAATAAGAGCAGTAGCCCATGAAGTAGAAGAATTAATATTTTCTGAGTTCCTATATGCTAGATATTCCAGTCTACCATATAATTGTCCATGGGATAGATATTTTTACTCCAATATTATAGTTCCAAGTACAGAGAGGTTAAGTATTAGGCCAAGATCACCCAGCTACTTTGCTACAGATCTACAACTCAACTCTAATTTCTATGGTTCCAGAGATTGTACTCACTTTCTATCCTATATTGTCTCTAGGCCAAAATGTCACTGGAAGGTCTTCTCCCTGGCTTTCAGTTTTCTAAGCTAAAAAGGATTATCTTTACAGTCCCAGTCCTAATACTCCAACACTAAGATGTCAAGCCTTATATGCAAAAGCTTCAAGGAATGATTAGAAATATAAGTCCCTGCATCTGCCCATAAATAATCAGAGGCAAATAGCCCAGGCAGGATGGTACGCCAAAGTGGGGGACATATGGAAATGGTGTTCATGAGTATACCATTTGCTCTAATTTAAGTGATGGGAAAAAAGGGAACTCAGTGTAATTATTTTCTAATAATAGAATTTAAAAGAAGCTCAGAAATACTGTTTCAACTCTAGGCTCAGCTTCAGGATTATGTAAGATCTAGGTAAACAATCCTGCTTGAGGGAATGACATACTTTCCTCCAAGTTGGGGAATAGTGTTGGCTTTCCTGTTGGAGGTATGGGAAGTTAATAGTAGTACCTGTCTACCATGCCCCACCTTGAAAGAAAGCTATCAAAGGGGCCAATAATATAAAAATATGGCAAAGATGCCTTAAGGTATTAATTGTTCAAGTGAGGATGATCAGACCAGGGGGAATAGTCAGTATTATCTGGTCTACCCACTGTACCAGCAAGGGGCAGTCCAATTTTATTTTAAGTACTTGCCCCATATAATTCCAAGAAAAAAAATGAAAAAAAAAAAAAAAAAAACATCTTATATGCTCACCGAGCTGAGTGAACTAAAGCAATCTAAATATCCTAATTGTGTCTCAGTTACTTCATACTTAATAAGGATAAAAACATTACCAACCCTATTGTGATAACTATTTAAATTAACATATAACAAAGTGCCTAGGAAGGTACACATACTGTAAGATCTACACAAATGATATTTATTATCCCATGGCTGCGTGCCCTGGGTACTATATGTATCCTGTTTCCTACTAACACTATAACCTGATAAGATTTGCACTATTTTATTCCCCAAAATCAAGATCAGAGAAATTGGAAGTAACTTTCCCAAAGGGGCAGAACTCAGGCCGGACTCCCTCTAAAGCCCATGTTCTTATTCACCATACTGCATTAGAATGATGACACCTACCCCAGTGGAACAACCAGCTTCAATTGAAGATTTCTGAGGCAAGAATCTCAAAAGAGCTGAGCTCTGGGTCTAGTGCTGCTATCAACTCAACTCTGTGCCCTTAGAATGTATCTCTTTCAACCTTTTTCCTCATTTAAAGTGGAGCAAATAATTATATCTACTGTTTGTTCCACTCCACATGGCTGCTAGAACACATCAAACATTATTGTGATGAAAAGGGCCCTCTCATTGTTCCAGCTCTAATTCTTGTCTCCTCTGCCCAACCAGCACCAAGTACGTATCTTGCTCCCAAAACTGCAATACCTTCCCACTTCCCAATCCCTTGGGCCTTCTGTTCCATTCCTACAGGATTTTGCCCATGCTGTTCCCTTTGCTATGAATGTATCTTCCCCCCATTAGATGACCAAGGGCATATAGCATTGATTCCAATATCCTCTGTTATGGTTTAGATATGAGGTGTCCCCCAAAGCTCATGTTTGAGACAAATGCAAGAAAGTTTACAGGGGAAATGATTGGGTTATGAGAGTTTAACCTAATCAGTACATTAATCACCTAATAGGGAATAACTGAGAGGCAACTCTAGGTTGGGTAGGGTATGGCTGGAGGAGGTGGGTCATTGGGGGTACATGCCTTTGCAGTATTTACTTTGTTGTGAGTCAGTGGAGCTCTCTGAATCCTGGAGACCATGTTCTGAGCCATTTTCCCCCACCACACTCTTCTGCCTCAATGTTCTGCCACACCTTGAGGCCAAAGCAATGGAGCCAGCTATCTATCCACTGAGACCTTTGAAACTGTGAGCCTCAAATAGACTTTTCCTCCTCTAAAATTTTTCTCAGGTCTTTTGGTTACAATGGCAAATAAAGCTGACTAAAACATCCTCAATGACTAGTACAGAGGGACTGGTAAAGACATGTTAATAATCACATATTTGCTCAAAACCGTCTAGTAGCTCCCAACCAAAGTGAAAGCCAAAGTCCTTTAAAGACACAATCTTACCTCTCATTACTTTTATACCTTCGTCTACCCCTACTCTCTCCCATTTTTATGCCACTATGGCCAAACTGGCCTAGTCCTTGGCATTCCTTGAGCACATATTTCCATATTTCATGGCCTTTGTATTTTTTCTTCCATCTGCCTGAAATTCTGTGTTCCAAGAATGATATGCTCTTTAATCTTCTTCAGATATTTTCTCAAAAGTCATCTGCTCAGGTACTACCCCATTACTCTAGCCTGTTAGCCTACTTTATTTTTCTTCATAGCCCTTATCACTCCCTGACAACATAGTATGTGCTTGTTTCTTTCCTTTCTTCCCTACTGGAATATAAATTCAATAAGGGTGGGAATTTTGTCCCATTCACTAACATATTTGCAGAATCCAGAATGAGACCTGACACAGATTAGGTACTCAATAAATATCTATCTAATAAATGAACCAAGGAATATTAAATAAATAGTGGCTATCAAAACTACACAGAGCTTTCTTACCAGTTCATTTGCCTTCCTGTTCTGAAGCCAAAGTCTCAGAGAAGAAACTTTACCTTTTTCTAATGAATTATAATTCATCCCATATTTCTCAACTTTATTCCACTCTAATTACAGGCTGACTGATATGTGTTTGTGGTCTGAGCAGATCCAGAGAAATAAGGCAAGGTAAACGCCATCCTTTTTCATCCACTTTGTCTTCAACACTGCCTACTGACAGAAAGGCAGAGAAATATAAACAATCCATCCAGTCCCTCATTTGATCTTCTGGTTCCAGAAGCTTTTAAATAAATGATTTTGCTGCCTCTATTACATTGGGATTTTGTATTTCCTCCAACTTCTTTGGATTCAATCATCCAGTAGTAAACTGGAAAGGACCTTGGGTATTATACAACCAGGATGGAAGGGGATGGGTACCACAAGAAGGATATTATAACCACATAAAATTAAACTCCTGAACATGAGCTGTGAACATGGGCTCCTGCTAAAATTATACAGAGGAAAAAGATTTAAAAGAAACTGTCAGGGATATATATCTTTTCCCTTCGTTTCAAGAGGATTTAATGAATCTGAAAGGTACCAAAGTGACAGTTCAACTAAACCTCAGCATCAGAGAAATTATAAATAGAAATTTTCCAGAAACTGTAATTCCTGAGAACAGGTATTTCTACCTGCTGCTCACAGAAACTGCTCTAATATATTATTACTTAGAGAGATGGGTAACAAGTTAACTTATCTATTTATTTTTAAGAAGTCCTTAGGATTTCGGCAAAGGGAAGAGTACTTCAAGATGACAAGAGTCAGGGATGGTAACTGGAGTTGGGTAAAGAGACTCAAAATGTTCATGGAGAAATATGAGGGGAAAAACAGGTCTTGAAATAATGCAAGACTTCCTGCTCTTCAGCCAGATGCTGTGATTTATTGAGCAAGCATCAACTGCCTACATTTCACCACTCCTCCCATTTCCTCTTCAAGGGAGATTAAACTCTAAAGGTTTCTCTTATGACTCCTGCTTTTCATTTAACAAATGAAGCTAAAATTACTATTTGCATGATTTTGACAGACACTCTATTTGTTCAAACATCTGGGAGGCAAGGGGATGGCAGAGATAGCAAAGCATTGCTTCTTTTTGGTTTGTAAGGCTTGTCCATATCAGCCCATAGCAATATGGCAAGAGCTCTTCCTTTTCTGTCTCCCCTCTCTCTCTTGCTCTCTCTTTCTCTATCTGCCTTTTCAATTTCTTGGGCAAATGGAATACACAAATAACCTATATCAGAGAACCAGAGAGGTTCTGTCACCTATCCCAAGAGACAGCAATCCTTTGAATGTCTATGTTCTATTGCTTTCTGGGAAAGACTCTTCTGTACTTATCCATCTTTAGTTGTATAGGTATTTGGATCCTCCTCTCTCCAAGGTAGTCTCACTGTCTTGTTTAAACATAGATTCTATTGAAAAAACAAGTTGCTATAACATTACAAAGGACAGCAACTGGGCTGCAGGAGGCAGAAGGTTAGGGGAATTTGTGGTTTAGTAGTGAAAATAACACGACAAAGGGAATCAGAAGACTAGATTCAAGTTCCACTTTTGTCACTGACTTGTGTGACCTTGGTCAGTAATAAGTCTCTCTCTGCTTCTCAGTTCCTCACTATCATGACAAGGTATGGGAGGGTGAATAAGGATGAATGTGAGTATAAATGAGTATTTATGCACACACTATCATGGTCAGGGCTGTTGGGGAGTGCTCTAAGAGCCTGGGAACTCTTGACATTCTGTAGTCTTTAAGACCAGATTCAGCAAACATGACAGATACCTTAAAAGCTCTGGCCTCTGAAATATACCAATCAGCCCTCACTAGAGGAAAAGCTTCCTAGACAGCAACACCCATAGAGCTAACAATTTCTTCAGTGACTACAGAGTCTGAGAAGAGCATTTTTTTCTCCTTCCAAGTCATTACAGACTCAATGTTTATGCCCCCCAAAATTTTTTATTAAAATCTAATCTTTTATCTACATTCTTTGAAGGTGAGGTCTTCTGAAGGCTTCCAAAACTGTGAGAAATAAATCTATGCTGTTTACAAGCCACCTAGTCTATGATATTGTTATAGCAGCCCAGAAGAACTAAGACACCAATTTAGATGAGTAAAGGCTTCATCAAGCAGGAAGGTGCAGTGTTGTACAGGTTTAGATGAGATTACGGAATCAATCTATTGTACTAACAAAGGAACAATTAAAATTACTTTTTGAACCCCTTCCCTAGAGAAACATAAATGAAATGTCTTCTGAGATGTTGAGCCTTTAAATCACAGCTCAGGACTACAGAGTTGGGTGCTAATAAAGCTCCTGCGGTAGGCCAAGGGATTTGAAACTGTTATTTGTCCCCCATGGCCTATGATCCAGGTATTAGAGGCAGAGAGCACATGGAGGAATTAAAAAGTCTTTTAGGAATGGAGATTTGGAAAGATGTTCCAGGAATAGAAAGACAACTGCTCCTGGACACCTTCTCTTACATAGAACCCTGCCATGGTAAGAGACAAAGGCCTTCTAAGTAGCCACAATTTCAGAATGCCTCAGAGTTCATGGGCTTACTAGAAGGCATTTGGCCCTGACCTCTGCCTTGAATCAGGAAACTGGCCAAAGCAAAAAGATACAAGGGAAGGAGAATCCACGACTTCTGAGTAAATCTTTGTCAGTGCTGGCTTAATCTTACAAGCAAGAGGGTCCCATTATGTGAATTCATTTCTTTCTATAAATTTCAAAGAGTCACTGCTATAATACTCTTTTATGAGGAAACTATCCTTCAAATAGGACCCCAAAATGTGTCAGCTGATCAGAATTGTGGCCTTTTCCAACATCTACATTGAGGAGGAACAGAGGTATTGCAATAAAAGAAAGATGATTTTTTTTTTTTTTTGGTCTAGAACTTGGTTAAGTAGCTATTTATAAGGCTGATGACAGTCCACTTGGAATAGGCCAATGGAGTTGCCTCTACTTCTACACTGTGACCACAAGGCATAATATTTCCACCCTCTCCCTGGTAGCATGTCTAGCCTCTCCCATCTTGGTTATATTAACTTATGGATAATCAGATTACACGAAGTGGGCCTAAGAGATAAATGTGAAATACCATTACTACTGGTTTCCTTGGTAGGTATATAGGAAGGAAGGCTTGAGTGACTTCAGCCACTTGCTTTCCAAGTTCAGACAAGTCACAGATGTCTTCAATAGAATGAAAAGTTTTCAGGGTCTATTTTTATAAGATGATGATGAAAACAGTGATCTGTGGATTCAGCAGGGATGATGGTCATGGACTAGAGTGTGTAGGCTTGGACAGACCTAGTGACTATGTCAAGACAAGGTGATCTCACCAACAAGAAAAGAAGTATGTTGCTGTCCCAAATGGTTAAGAACAAGAGAACCAACCCCATTGTGTTAGTTAGTTTTCTATCACTGTGACAAAATACTTGAAAAAATCAAGATACAGAAGAAAGGTTTATTTTGTCTCACAGTTTCAGAGGTTTCTATACAGGATCCACTGGCTCCACTGCTATGAGCCTGTGGTGAAGCAGAACATCATGGCGTAATTACATGGCAGAGCAAAGCTGCACACCTCATGGTGGCCAGAAGTACATAGAGACACAGAGAGAATGTGTGCTTGAGAGAGAGAAAGCAAAAAAAAAAAAATCTGTGAACCCTGCTGCCAACACTGGGGCCAAGTATTCAATACATGAGCCTTTTAGGGAACATTTACCATTCAAACCATAACACACATATTAGGTGACTAGGAGTATATTAGTACATACTACTACTTATCCAAGTGTGCATCCCATGGTCACAAATCTAGGACTTGAAAAATGTTTGAAGGGCTACTGACTTAACTCAATTGTTGTTTCCAAACAATACTCAAAGAGATAAACCTTTCTTTTGTTTTTAAATTTTTTTTAGTTGTGTATGGACAGAATGCTTTTATTTTAATTGTTTATTTTTATGTGGTGCCGAGGATCGAATCCAGTGCCTCACACATGCAATGCAAGCACTCTGCCACTGAGCTACATCCTCATCCCCTTTCTTTTCTTAATGAATTATTGTCACAAAGATTTCACTAATCTTCTTAGAAAGCTATTAATTACCTAATACCTCTCATTAGCAGGAAGCTTTGCTTTGGGCCTAATCTAAATCTTTCCGGTTGCTCCTAAAATCTAATTCCTCTTTGTTCCCCCACTTGGCTTAGGTGAGCTTTCAGCAAGCTCCCTGGAATCCCCAACACCCCTATTGGTAAGAGTCCTACCTCCCAGTCTAGGACAGAGGCCTGCCACTGGGCAATCTTGTCAATATTCTCCAAACGTCGCTTGCGTTCGTTGATTTGCTGAGTCACATTTCTCATGACAGCCAAAGCAGCTGCCACATATCTGTAATCACTGTGAAGAAACAAGAATGCAAGTTGGATGAACCAATATGCCAGAGAACCAATGTTCTAGATGCCAATCTTAACATCCACTCTATACTCTTTCTCCTTAGTAACAGTATTGATTTTCAGATGGGAACCCATGAGACATAGAATAAAAGACTACACTTCCTATCTTTTTTTCTCAGCAGGGATGACTATATGACTAAGTTCTGTCCAGTAATTATACAAATTATCATGTTGGGCAGGACTTTTGAGATATCTCCTTTAGGGAACAGAGCACATCCTTCTTTAGTGCTTCCTACATCCTGATGTTTAAAATATGAATGGATGGCTGAAGCTGTACTCATATGCAGGATCATGATGACAAGCCAATACCCTAGGGGTACATAACTGAAAGCTGAAAGGAGCCTGAGTCACTGATGACCATGAAGCCACTATGCCAGCCATGGGCCTCCTAACTTATGGTTTCTTTTGCATGAGAAATAGAGTCCCTCTCTGTTTTTACACCACTATTGTTGTGCTGTATTTGATACAACCAACCAAAGTCTAAGAAGGGAGATTTTCACATGACATAGTCCAGACAACATAATCATCTCTCCCATTATTTCTAGGGAGCCTCTGCCCAAAGTCACTTTTCTTCCTACACACAGTTTTTAAAAATACAAAATTTGAAACCAAAGTCTATGAGCTCAAACTCCACTTATTTGGCAAGTCTCACTCACTCCCCCCTTAATTCAATTTTCTTTTATATAAAATGGGAAGAATCATGGTAGAATTTATTGATGGGGTTAATAAATTAAATACAATCATCCATGTAAATTGTTTTACTCTTGGCCCACAAAAAGTGTTATCAGTATTATTACAAGTCATACATTTCTCTATTAGAGAAATCCCATGGGATGCCTTCCCCTAAACCCAGAATTTTAACACTTGGCCCAGCTTCCTAGGACTTTGGATAATCCATGTATTGAGGTTTGCATCATTCTGCCCAGTTTTCTCTGATCTGATTTCCAATTGAATGGCTCCTGTGAAAGGCAAAATGAAAGTGAAATGTCAGCCATTGGATGGAGCTACAATAAACTGAGAAGGCAAGGCATGTGTTATAGTTCAGTCTTAATACCTTTCCTTAGAAAAGCTGAAAATGCCTTGTGCTCATTAACCTGCTCACTTTCATAGCATCAATTAGAAAATAGAAGGGGAAAATGAAGAGGTACAATTACTGCCTTTTTCTTTCTGAATACATTGAAGAACGTCGTAGACCAAACACAGGCACAGGGAAGGGAGTTCTAACTGCCAGGGCAAAAGTTATAGAGCACATCCCTTTAGTTGGTATCCATGACTAATTTGTGCCCTATGTAACTTCCAGATCCATGGACCTCAAAAACTACTGCACTCTATCACCTCCAGTTATAGGTTACACCACCTAACCAATTTATTCTGTCACAAGAAACCTGTTGGAAAAATTGTTTTAATTCTGAGCAATAATGAATATTAGGTATTAACTGTTTTTCTAGTGGCTCTCACTAATGACTCACCTTGAGATTGTGACAAGCTGTCTAGAACCTATATCTTCCTCAACCCGTTCCTGAGCAGCTAGCTATCTTACCATCTCCCACCAAACTCTACAAAAATTTGGGGTTCATGTAGCTTTGAACTGTGCTGAAAAACTGCCTTTCTGGAACTCTTAAGATCAATTATGCAATATATAATTTAACTAGTGAATATTATTACTCCACAAGTAAGATTTTTAGAGCTCTTGACGATGTCCATTCAACAGATACTCAAGATATAGGGCAATTTAAAAACTGTCATACAAAATCATATAAGAATCACTCTTTGATGGCTCACAAATCTCTCTGTAAACAAAATTTACCTAGATAATGCTTTTAAAAGTTAGATGTTGAGACTATTACTTATACTTTATGTCCTTGTTTCAATATAGACTTGCACTCTGTCATTTTCCCTTTTTGGGTCTCAGCCTTTCCAGCTGTATAACAAGGAAATCTGACTAGAAGGGATAGCTTTCCTAATCTAGGTAGGATATATATTCTGTATTTTAAGTTAATTTTGAAATATCTTAATTTTATTGGGGGGTTCTTCAATGTCCTCATTTGCCCTCAAGAAAACATCTCAGCTGGGAATGTAGCTCAGTAGTAGTGCACTTGCTTAGTATGAATGAATCCCTGGGCTCAATCCCTAGCACCACCCCCACAAACAGATCCTCAGAAAGCTGGGAACTCACTTCTGGTGATGGGCTGTACTAAGTCTGTTCAGGTGTGACCTAGTCATCTCCAAATTTCAGGTCTAATAAGCAGCTAATATCATTGCCTCAGGGAGAAGAGAGTAGAGTCCTCCTTAGTAAAGTCCTATTTCGCTTGCCTCCCTCACAGCAAACAGGTCAAGGAAGGCAGATCAATCATTGACCCTGTTACTCATACAAGAGGGAAGTCAAGTATTATTACATTTGTGTTAAAATATGAAATTTGCTTAGGGCTCCAGAACCACAGAAGCATATTACTTATACTTTACTAAAGAAACAACATCAATTTGAAAATGAACATGAGGATTGACCTAGAAGCTAACTTAAACCAAACCAACTGGTCCACACCCATGGCCTTATGCATTTGCATTTGGAAATCAGCACTAAATGTGCCAGGCAATGGAGCCAAATGTAAATAGAAAGTGGGCCTAATAAGAGTCATGCTGAAAGCTATGAGAAATTGGGCAAAGCCCTTCTTTCTTCTCAGAGTACTCAATCCAAGGAATAGAGCTGAACAAGTCTAAGATCAGGGATTCAACATTAATTAAAATAAAGTTAGAAATAAGGTAGGGGTCAAAGTCTGAGGTAAGACCTGTGAAAGAGTGGGAATGTTCATTGTAAGTCACACCTATTGTTGGGGGATTACCTGCAGCATGCACCTTAATGGTAGGAGGTGAGTGGTATCATTTATATTCTTGGTACTTATTTATTTTTTAATATTTTAAAAATAGGAAAAGAAAATTCAAGGGAAACCTCAAGTCTGTTTTCCAATACCTATACTCTGGCTTTATTGAAAATACACAACTGGGTTGGGACAGAGTAAGGTAAAAACACTAAAGAAGACCATGCAGAAGTTCAGAGTTAGTACAAGTTGTCTAGACTATCACCAGGACATTTGAGTCTTTCAACAAGAGTGAATTATATAGTTGAACATTTATTGCATCAGGGTTGATTCATGAAGCCAAGCTCAGGACTAAGGAAAAGATTTAAATCTCTGCTGCTTGAGAGTAGGGCATGCATTGTACAATAATAATGTGCATGCAGTTTGTGTGTGTGAACCAATTTACAACTTCACAAGCAACTCTCAAAAATATTCCTTCACTTCACACAAAGCAGCCTTGTGAGGTAAGCAAGCATGTATCATGCTGCTTTGCAGATAAGGTAACAGAAGCTCAGAAAAGGTAAAAATGATATACATCTTCAATAAGGATCAACATGTAAAATAAACTCACTCCTATTTCCCTCAATTTCTTACCTGTGGTCTTGAGCAGTATACTTGAGGAGCTCAGCCAACTGTAAGGGATACTTGCAGATCTTTTGCACTGGAGTCAAAAGGAAACCATCAATAGCAATGTCAATCATCTGCTGCAAGAGGCGACAGGCCTCAAAGAAGTGCTGGTAGCGACTATCCTTCATCAGCTTGGAGAGCTCCATGCAGGCGTCCAGATGGTTGTTGCAATATTCAGAGTATATCCAGAATCCATCTTGCTATTGCCAGAAAAAAAATGAAAGAGAAAGGCTACTCAGCATTCCAAAGCAAGTCTTGAAATAATAGAAAGGACCATGTTCTTATGTAGGAATGTTAAAATAATGTCAATTATGCTTAAATTGATCCATAATTTAATCATAAACATTTGAAAAGAAATTATTTAACAATTAGAGAAACAAACTGTAAAACTCAATATAGAATAAGTAGAAAATAAGTAGACAAAAGAAAGGTAATGAGAAGAGACTGATTCTAACAATAATAAAAGAGAGCTTGGCAAGTATATCTGATATTTGGTCATAAAAAGAGATCAGAGATTCTACTTTTGTCAATGACAAACTAAGGTGTTTCAATACACCCTGCCACTGAGAGCAGCTAGAAAAGCTGAAAATTAAAATAAAATCTCTCTGAAGAAATCATTATCCAGAGCTTCAAATTACCTTCATAAAAGATACCTTCAGAAGCATATCATGAAGTATTTAGGCCATGATGAGTGTAAGATGAGTGCTGAGGGGAAAATGTATGAGTATGTGTACCTGTGTAAGTATTATATGCATATAGAGAAACGAGAACATTTGAGAGATAGGGAGAGCATATTCAAATGATGAAACAAAACAAAAAGGTGAAATGCTAACAATAGTGAACCTGGGGGTAAATAGTATACGGATATCTTTTGTATTGTTCTTATTTTTCAACATTTCTATAAAATTTAATTTATTTCAAAGCCTAAAAAATCCTTATGTTTTTCTCATATGTTGCTAAATACTAAATAAAAAAATCACCTGATACATAAGAATATAAAACATGAACAAAACATGATAGAAAAAGAGGCAATAGAAAATAGACAAAAAAATCAAGATGAAGTTATTACACATGTACTTTTCAAAACAAAAAAACAGTACACAAAAAGAATAATATGCCATAAATACAAAGGATCTGTCTCCTCCAAAAAGTTAACATCATTCTCAAGGGTGAAATATTGAATGTTTTCCCCTAAGTTCAGAAACAAAGCTCCTAATTCAACCTATGTATGTATATTCCCTGCCTCATTTTGCCACCTCTTCTCTCTTAGTCTCCCAATGATGGAAATTTCAAAACCAAAAGGTTCTTCTATCTTCCTTCAAAGCCAGCTTGAATAAAACCCATTTGCCTACCAAACTGACTCCAAATATTGGTGGAACAAAAATCAGTGTAGCTTAGCCTTTTTCTCTGAGTGTCAATAATACCAACCAGTAACAACATCAGTAATGTGTCAGGATACAAAGCCAATGTACAAAAATCAACTGTTTTTCTATATGGCAAAAAACAACATAAAGTTGAACTTTAAAAAAATACCATTTATAATAGTATCAAAAAGCATTAAATACTTAAAAATTAAATTTTCAGTAGAGAACATCAGCAAGATGTCACAGTAAAACATGTCAGATTTCAAAACTTTGGCAGCTATCCATTCATGAACAAAAATATTTCAGAAAGAGTGTAGGAGTCCACTTAAGAAGCCACAGAAATATAGTTGAAGAAAAAAAAAAAACCTAAGAATAACTACACAAAAAGGGTTGGAATAACAGTTTCATTTTTCCTGCCTCATTTACATCCCCCAAATTCTGCTCAGGTCAGAGAAAGCACTTCTTTGGCTCATATGCCCCCTTGTGGGGAAAAGGAGAGCAGCATATACAATCAGATTCCTCAGCTTTTTAGAACATTGCTCAAATGACCAACTTTAGTTTCACACCACCCAGGTTTCTAGAGGACTGGGATGGCTGAGATGCCTGGAGACAGTAAAGAACAAGGAAGAAGAATGTGCATCAGTATCAGCCAGGCACTGGGAATCACTGTGACTCCCGGGTGACCTGTTTAGCAAAAGAATCCAGCATCTCTCTGCTGAGGACTTCAACAACACTTCCACTACTAAGTACTACTCAATATTCAATGTCACAGGCCACAGTAGTTTGTTCTGCAAAGGACCCTAGCAGCTATCAATGCTGATAAAACTAACTACTAACTTAGCAGCAACAATAGACCCACTACAACCTGTCACTGAGGGTGCCGGAAGTTTTGTTTGTTTTTTGTTATTTCTTTTTTTATGTGTGGCAGGGATTAAACTCAGGGGTGCTTAATCACTAAGTCACATCCCAGCCCTTTAGTTTTTATTTTTGAGGCAGGATGTTTCTGTGTTACTGAGAACCTCACAAAGTTGCTGAGGATGAACTCAAACTTGTGATTCTCTTGTCTTAGCCTCCGGTATTGTTGGGTTGTGATTTATTTTTGCCTTAACAATCTACAGTTACATAATTCATGTTCTCTCTCTCCCTGCTCCCTGAGGCTACTTGGTGTTACCAAATTGCTGTTACAATAGGTGCCCCAGTTCTACAGTATTCATAAATTCCAGCTCCCTGACCCACAAGCTCTTTCTCTCCTCTGGGTCTGGAGTTACTTGAGCTTGCCCCTACCATATCCACTTTGGCCCAGATACCCAGCCTTCTCTAAGTGCCTAAGCCACCAGCCCTATAGCCATCATAGCTACTGTCTCCTTGGGAGCTCTTGCTCCATGACCCAGGGCAACTACCATGCATGTGTCCACAACAGTTCCATAGTCCTCCACCACAGACTACATCCTCACTATCATGTACAACCAAGGCTTACTCATATAGTCAGATGCCAACCCTGGCCACCACAGTTATACATAGATAAGCAGGTAGCCTTGTACCTCAGAGACTGCCCTCATCACCATGCTTATACCCATAGCTGGTCCAAGCAATTTTGGACACATGGACAACTCCAGCTCAGATGTGTAGCTGTTCATTTATAAACAGATGGTTTGAACCTTGTCATTAGCCTGAAGAGGGCTCTGCAACTGAGAAAGATTCATGGCCCTTCAAGCTTGTGGCCACTGTTGGCACCACCCATTGCCAATGGCTCCAGACCTTGTCACCCTGTATAAGTCCACAGCTGGCCTCTACCCAACATATATGTGCATAAACTGGCCTCTTCAATATAGGTGTACACATTTATAGCTTTGGTATTCATCTAGTCTCTGAACATATAGGTATATGAAGACTTCAACAATTTTCACAGCACTGTTGACCTTCTACATCTTTTGCAGTTGCTAACATACCAGATCTCAGCTGCCTAACCCAACAAGACATCTTTCTTCCCAGATATGGAATCACTGCATACTCCTAGAAAAAGTACTTTAAGACACAACATTTGTTGTCACACTGTACCCCAGTATGCATACCCCCATTATCCATAACAGAGGAAGGTCTTTCCTTATCTACACTAGTCTATAAAATCTAGAGGAGGTGAATATTTCTTAAAATTTGCAGTCATTTTCACAAAACTACAAAGATCTGGAAGAATCATGGAAATACAACATCACCAAAGAAACACAACTGATCCCAAAGAATTAGAGATGTTAAAAAAGAAAAAAAGAAGAAGAAAAAAAAATAAAAACAAGATAAAAGAATAAGTGAAATCAATACAGATCATTTGAAATCATCCATAGTAGAAAAATAAATATGAAAAAAAGGAGAAGAGGAAGTGTAGAGGATCGAATGTGACATCAAGAAAGCAAACATTGGGCTGGGGTTGTGGCTCAGAGGTAGAGCACTCGCCTAGCATGCGTAAGGCACTGGGTGGATCCTCAGCACCACATAAAGTAAAAATAAAGACATTGTGTCCACCTATAACTAAGAAATAAATATTTTTAAAAAGAAAGGAAACATCTGTAGAATTCAGGCATCCCAAACGAAGAAGACACAGAAAGAGAAAGAAATGTTATTTAAATAAATAATGTGAAAAGTTCCCAAACCTGGGGGAAAATATAAACATTTAGGTGCAGGAAGTTTGGAGATCTCTAGTCAAATTCAGCCTGAAGAAGAGTTCACCAAGACAAATTATAAATAAACTGTCAAAAATCAAAGGTAGAGAATTCTAAAAGCAGCAAAAGAAAAGCATATCACATAGAAGCAAGTCTTGAGGACTTGCTATCACCACATTTCTGGAAGATTCTTAAAAGCATAGTCCTATGGTTTTTGGATGTCTCCTCCAAAATTCACATGGAAATTTAACTGCAATTGTAGCCTTTTTAAGAGGTGATTATGTCATGAGGGCTTTACTCTCAAAAACAGATTAATGCGTTATAACAAGAGTGACTTACTTAATAGGAGAAGTGGATTCCTGATTAGAGAATGATTTGGGCTCATTGCACGTGCTGCTCCATAAGTTCTAAGCAACAAATATTGGAGGTGTCCTTGTGATATTAAGCCTATAGATTTGCAGAATTCAAGAGCCATAAGGATATAGTTTCCCTTACCTAGATTTCAAAGGATATTGTGCACTTCCTTGGGTCTTGGGCAGATACTTGTCACATGGGCAGTACCAAAGAAGAGAACTCCCACTAGGGCAATGACTCATGGAGTCACGAAGTGGGGTTACCTCCCATTCCTAGAACTATAGAACTACCAGTGTACAATGTGAGGCTTGGAAAAATGCAAGCATGAGACTTCTGAGTGAATTGAAGCATTGGGTAATCCCATAGAAGTGGAGCTCCCTGATTTTGGGGGGTACAACTTCCCAGTGTGTCCTGAAGGCAGCACAGGAAGTAGAATGCTATTCTTGAGTCTTAAGACTTAATATTGTTAGCTCTGTTCTTTTTTTTATTATTCATTTGGGATGTTATCTTTATCTTGTTTCCTATTTTGACTTTTTCAAGTGGAAATGTCTGTCTTATGCCTGGTCCACTATTTTGGAAGTAAATAAATTGCTTTGATTTTACTGGTTCACAGCTGGAATGAATTTGCCTCAGAACAAATTATGCCTTGAATTTCACTCATATCTGAATTAGATGACACTCTAGACTTTAGACTTTAGATTTGATGCTAGGATGTATTAAAATTTGAAATTACTGACAAAGAAGAAAGTTTTGTACATGAGGATACACTTTTGGGAGGCAACATGCTATGATTTGACTGTATAACCCAATCTCATGAAATTTGTCCCT